TATGAGTTTACACGAATTGATATACAATGCAACTATTTAGTGTTTAGTCTACACTTAATTTATGTCTGATAACGTTTTCTGCAAAATGTGAACTACATCATTTTTACAGCAACATGGGACCATGATGAATAATGAAAAGTATAACAAACAAAGCAACTAAAAGTAATTCAAATAAAGTGAAAGTGATACATGATAAATATATCGGAGAATTTTGATTAACCTTAAAATTTGCAAGATTTCAGAGCACTCGAAAAAATTTCCAAAAATATGGAAATCTATTGGTAAGATATCAAGACGGATTCATAAACCCCAGGTGTAGGAAGATGTATTGTATAAAATTTAAATAACATTTACTATACACAATTTTGAGGTGACGTCATCATATTGTTTATGAGGATTGTTAGACGAAAGTTTGGTTAGAGTTTTAGCCGAGTACAGTGAACCGAAATCTGTATTCGTTCTTCAAAAAATTATATGATCATCTCCAAAGGCGAGACAACTCAATAAAAACCTGTATACTGCAGTTTCGGCCTTCTTTGGTCACATCAGTACAGCACATTTCGGTGGCTGTCTAGTCAGAGAAGCTGAAGTAGACTAACATTTGTGAGACATTTTTAATGTCTGTTGTAAAATGGTAAATTGAACTGTTATCGAACTCTAGTTAATTGTATTACTTTGGAATAATTTTTATATTCCTCCAAGAGAATGAAGCGAAGAAAAAAAATTTTTGGAAATTTCTAATTGACGGTATTACATTTGGATATTAAAATTAATATTACATATTTATAAGGAAAACAGGGTTGAAAAATATTGTTTACCAAAAATCAATTTTCTATTCCACTTTTTTTTTTAATTTCCTAATTAGAATTATCGCCCAACAAGTCGCAAGAAAAGTCAAAAGCTAGCAATTTTAAGTACGTTTCTTCAATTTTTTATAGCGTGCTATATTTTGTTCAGTTATTTTAATTTTCATATTTGACGCATTTTAAGTTTAGGATTGTTATTTTATAAAATTTAAATAGTATTTGTTATGCAAAATTTTTAGGTGACGCCATTAAAATATTGGTGGGGATGGTCAGACAAGTTTTTGTCATCGTTTTAGGATCTATGGTTTCCCCAGTTCTAATTCGGTTTTATGATAGTACCCCATAGTAATCTAGGTCGTATCCAAACTGCGGTGCAAATTTTGCTCAAATATCAGGTACATGGATACTTGACCGAATTGCGGTTCGTTCTTGAACTGTAGGGGTTCAGGGTAGAAACATCATTTAGTGCTTCAAATTTAAATTTTGAGGAAAACCAAATACTTTTTACACTTAAAAAATAGAGTGAATTTTTTACATAAAAACGAAAAACGATATACCGAAAAATATCTGGTTTATAGATAGATGTTCATAGAATCTAAAATTATCTAATCTAAAGTAATGAAATTTTTGGAAATAATTTTGGAATTTGTGATTTCAGAAATTATATCTTTCGGAATTACATAAGTAATAATTACATCTACCATCCATTCAGTTTATTAATATGTATATGATCAGCGGTTCTTTTTTCATGCATAACAAAATCGAAAAGTGAAGATATTTACTAAATTTGTATTAAGTTTTTGATTCATAATTTTGAGTATTAAATAACTGTGTCCATCACTCGGCCACGCCGGTAATCTATTGTTAAGAAAGTTAACTTTGACACAATGGGGTACTATCATAAAACCGAATTAGAACTGAGGAAACTATACAGGATGTTTTTGAAATTAAAATAAAACTTAATTACAATCAGTCCAATAGTTTCGGAGATGTCTAATAAAATCGACACAGACTTGAGGCGATTGACAAATAGCTGGAAACGCGAGAATTAGCTTTGTATTTTTATTGGAACTGTTTTATTCCAGTCAGTTTTGTATTATATTTTCGGAATTTGGGAAGAAAAGTAAAAAAACAACCAAGAGTGATTTAAATCTGATTTTTTTTTAAATCACTTGATTTAAGTCGCGACTTAAACTATGAAGGAAAGTATTCTAAGAAGATGCTTTTTCCAGGAATGTCTATAGCAATTTTATTATTATTGAGAACTTTAAAACTGTCGTGTAAATGGTAAAAAATCTCAAAATTTGTATTGTTTTGTAATGGGTTCCATCTGAGAAATGGTTACTTTCATGTTTGCTCGACGTTTCATGACCCCAAAAGTATTTATTACACAGTCTTCGAATTTACTGGACCGATTGTTGTCAAATTTTAAATGTCTATTAGGAATATCGTGTAGATCGTACAATACTAATCAAATTTTATCGGATCATCCTCACCCACAGTGTAATGTGTCGCCTTAAAATTTTGCATAGTAACGCCATTTCAGTTTTATAAAATAATAATATATTCGCACATTTGTGCTTTATGCGTCCGCCTTGTTTTTGTTTATTATTACATTTTTTTTATTATTTGAACCTGTCATTGATCTATGGAGGGACATTTCAATTTTTGTTTATTATAAAATTTATTCATCAAGTCAAGAACGCTACACCCCATTTTGTATTAATACTATTATGTTGCACGCGTTGGAATTGGCATACTTGTCCTTGCTGAAACTGAAAAACTCACTAGAAACACAGGATTAGTTTTGGCGCTTAATTAATGCATTCATGTTTTTTGAGCAATTGTTTGACTGTTCATCCAATTTCCCCCGAAACTGATATTAGCATTATCCCAATTGAAGAAAATTAATGAGGGTCGCTCCATTTTCCCGGCATTTTCAGTATGCAACACTGTTATTATTATTAGTGGTAGTATGGTGACTCAAAAACAACCGTTGATATTTTGGAATTTCTAAACATTTGCCTAACATTTTCTATGATCGATGGAGAAGGATGAATCGACCCTCCGCGCCAGACCAAATTTAAATAAGTCAACAGAGTATAGTTTCGTAACTAACTGCGTTCTAATCAAAGTCAGTGGCGGAGTATGGGTGATTAAAGTATGATAAATTAATAATTCAGAAAAACAAGCTTTAGAAGAATGGCTAAAAAAATAACAGAAATAATGATATGTTTACTTATTAAAATGTCGCATCACAGAAATCTATTGAGAGGAAATCAGTAAACTCGTTAGACAATTTTTTTATTTTTTCGGAAAATCTGGACAAAGAGAAAGTTGGTAACTTCATCGTCAAAAATGAGTTGTCTAATTTTCCTGAAACTCGAGGAACACCGTAGTTTTGTTTTTAGTGTTACATTGTATTGTACCTATCTGTCAAAATGGATATATTTTATTATAACAATTTAACATACAATAATTTGTGTTTCAATCGAATCAAAAACATTTTCACAGGAACCACACGTCAGAAATGGACAAATTTTCAAACATGGCTGCCTTTGATCTTGGTTTTTTTTTGTTTGCTCGGTATAACTTTAGTATGTAACAAACAAAATAGTGACGATCAACAAAGATTTTTTATGGAAACGTCGTTTGACCACTGTTGGCCTAAATTACTTATAGGGTTATAAAATTTTATTACTATACAAATATAGTGTACTTACTATAATAAAGTCTAGAAATAAAACATCATTTTCTAGGTTTTTTTTTAATAAACCATAAACAAATCTACAAAATACAAGCAGAAGAAAAATATGTATGATTTTTAAGTGTCGTAATTGCAAAAAAAAATTATTCATGACCTTGTTTTTCTTCGTTATTTAGGAAAATGTAGATAGAGCACGCATAAATCTTTCCACTCTTTTTATGCATGATTTTAAAAGCGAATGTTGATTGCGATTGTATATTTTGTGACCCAAGTCATGTTCTCGACCTAGGAATTTCCCCGAAATCTGAAAAATTTAGATGATAAGACAACATAAGAATAACAAATAATGTTTCACTTGATTCTAGGAATCTGGAGTGTCACTTCTATATTATACTTTGTAATTTACCGTTTAATTAAGTCTCGTAATATCTTCTGTGTGGGCCACCTCACCTTGATAAAATTACAATTACCAATTATGTCTACACCCATACATCATGATTATCACCGATTAATAAACAAAACAGGTACCGAGTTAATTGGAACTGTTTTCTCAAAACATGAATTAATCTGTACAGTAGCATAAGCAGTAAATGTTTTCGACACGTTTTTTATGAGGAAAGACACTCGATACTTTTTATGGACACTATAAATTAACCTTCACATTAAGTTTTAAAATAGCCATTTCCAGATGTTCGCACAGAGCTTAATTTAAATGAGAACTGTGGTTTTATGAGTTACGGTACTTGCAGATTTAGATACAATAAAAAAAATAGTCAGCACAGGTACATCGGTGACATTTTCCAACTTCTACTGCTTTAAAAACAGAAGTTTGTATATTCCTTCGCGTCTGGTAAATAAGTTAATGTAAGGTGTACAGTGTGGGAAACCAACTTTTTTAACACCATAAACGACAACTTTCATCCCAATGTTTTCGCCATTCATTGTTGACATTCTCTGAATTTACTTAGCAGATGCATCTTTAATTGTGTAATGCAACACTTACGTGCCAGCGTGGGCTTGTATAAGTGTTTGTTGCATAACAGTTGTATTTCTGATTATTTATTAGACGCATTGGGCGTTCTGTAAACGTAAATAAACAATCTCCACTGCATTAACTTGACTTTAATCGATTTAAGTTCGGCTAGGTACGTTCTGAAAGCGTTCAACAGCAATTAAACTTCGGACCGTTTTTGTTTGTATTTTCAGTGATTGATGAAGCTACTCGAGCAATGAAAGATCCATTAATAAATTTTACTCCTTTTTTATAATCGGAAGCTGTGAAGAAGAGCTTTTGTCGTTATCGATTTCGAGTGATGTTTTGATTCATTCCAAACATCTGTTCGAGTTGTATTTTTGGCAAGAGTTCCAGGAGCCTTGCTGAAGGCGGTGCTCTTTCGCAATTGACCTATTTTGACTGTCGTTAAATATTTCACCTCCCACACACCTGTGTACGATGTGATATTAAGTAATTTGGTTTCTTGTTTCAGTACAAGCCCTAGTCAGTTGCAAGAGGTTACTTTGGATCAAGATAATACGTTTTCAAGTAAGTAGTTTGTGTAATTTAATTGTTTTTAGGTGTTTTGTTTCTATTGTAAACGCTAGCGGCTGCATTGGAAATTTTCATATTTACGGTTTTTGACTTTTTCTCAATGCCATTTTTATCTTGGCTGCAATTCAAGAGTTAACCCATTAATAATATGATAATAATTTTAGTGATGCGTAATATTGATACCCAAACTCTTGAAGAATATTATAAACATGTTTTTTTTTATTATTATTATTTATGACGTTTGTTAGCAGAAAGTAGCATTCTTTAGACTAACATTTTAAAATTTTATTAAATGCCTCCAAGCTGGATTCAGGTTGTCATTGTTGTTCCAACTATTTGTAGCAAAATAGCTACGAAATGTAAACAATTAGTTCTTTCCCAACAGCAGATGCCAATTTGTTTGCCTGTTTCCACAATTCCTGTTTTCATTATTACGTTTCTTGTTAGAAATTCACAACATTTTTTCTTGATCATTTATTTTTTAAATCATCAGTCATTAAAACCTTTGTACTATTAGAACCACGAATCAAGACTCGGTATCCTCTTAGTCATTTCTTACAAGTACACGTGATTTTTCTAACAGTTTTGTATAGATAAATATATTTAACCCCACGACAAATGATGTTAACCACAAACATGTCCTCTGTCAGAGAATAATCTTTCACTGACAGTTAAATATTTGTTCTTTCACGGCTAGCTTATGCTCTCAAATGGATGAAACCAAGTGTTACAAGCTTGTATAATCAAATTTTCGAATCTACAGTAGATCTTTACGACACAATGTTTTCAAAATTTGAAACCATTGTTCTGTTTTAAACACAAACATTTTACATATTTTACATGGAATAGGTGTTGTTGTTATTCTTTCCAATCAAGACTTGTGCAAAAAAAAGTTGGAAAATATTGTTCGAGTTCGACCAGTATCTGTATAATCCTCTGAAAAGTTGACAAGAGTATAAGTGTAAGTGTTTTCGACAAATGTATTTATTTATGTCTATTGTTTACGAGCAAAAGCAAATTGAAAAGTGGTACTATTATCTCAGAATTTGGAAAAAAAGATAAACCATAAAGATAAATACAGTGAAAACTCCGTTGTGTGAACATCGTTTACTGGAATGTCGTTTTGAAGGAATTTTGTCCGTCAGAAGCAATTATTAATAAATATCGTGCGATTTTTTGATTTGTGGTGTAGTTACCCAAGAACTTGTTCAAAGGACGCAACTTGACACTTTTTAATTTAAAAAAATTATAACATTTTAATGAATGTAGCACGTCATTCAGTTTGTTCTTAAAAATGTCTATTATTATGATGAATTCGGAAATTCAAGACCCTTTAAACCCTCGTTGGGTTTAATGATTTATTTTTGATAAGTAACAATATCCACTGATGGCTTGAAAGTAGTGCTCTTCCAAAATCGAATTAAAAAGAAAGATATGGTCTATGTGGATGGTAAGTAAGCGGCCGTCATAAAATTCCCTTGGAAAGTTCAAACTTGTATGAGCTATTGCGCCATCATGCTGAAAATATCCATTCTACTGTTCAAATTCCTGCATCATGTTTTGATATCTCGCAGCTGTAACTGATTTCTTGAAGAAAATGAGCCCAGATAGTCGTCTTTGAGAAATGGCACACCAAACTCCAATTTTTGTAGGTGTCATAGCGTTTCTTCAAAGTAATGAAATTTTCCTGCATTCCACATCTTTATACTTTGCGAGTTTACAAACTCTGGTAGATGAGAAATTTTGTAGAGCACTCCATGCGCTAACCGGGTGTCTGGAAAATGGCGGATTAACTCTTCAGTAAGTTATGTATGAATAAGAAAAAAATTCTCTATGATGCAGATTATGAAAAAAACCTAATTTTATAAAACCAAAATTGGCAACACTTTCATAGTAATGGTGACTGAAAACCACCTTTTATTTTTTTTAGGACAATAACCATAACAACCAGTAGTCATTAATCGTAGTAATAAAAGAAGTTGTTATTTTTCATTAATAAATAAACCAAAAAAACATTTAATAAGACATTTATAAATAATAAACAAAAACAAAACCAACAGAAGAAAAATCCATTAAAGCATAAACAACTAAACACTAGAGAAGATGTTCAAAATTCATGCTTTGTGCATATGTATAAGAAAGCTCGTAATGTTTTCAAATTTTGATAATTTTTTTGTAAAAGTTAGTCATCAGTACTTGCTAAGATACTCGTAAAACTGATTTTGGCAATAACATACCCTCTAAGAAAATAGAGGGTGGGTGGGCGGGGTTGGTATCTGCTAAAAAAGACTGATTTTGGCAAATGACATACCCTCCAAGAAAAGACAGGGTGGGCGGGCGGGGCTATTATCTAAGACTGATATTGGAAACGACCTACACTCTAAGAAAATGATGGGTAGAGGGTATATCATTTGGCAAATCAGTCTTATCTTGGCAAGTATTGATGCCTCTCACCCACCCTTTCTTTTCTTCGAAGGTATGTGATTTGGCAATTTCAGTTTTATCTTAGCAAGCATCATCCCCGCCCACCCGCTCTTTATTTTCTTAGAGGGCTGGTAGCTGCTAAGATAATACTGATATTGGAAAATGACCTACTCTCTAAGAAAATGAAGGATAGACGGTGTATCATTTGGCAAAATTAGTCTTTCGTGCCAAGTCTTGACGTCGCTCATCCACCCTTTTTTTCTTTCATGGTATGCCATTTGGCATTATCAGTTTCATCTTAGCGAGGACTAGCCCCGCCCACCTCTTTATTTTATTTTCTTAGAGAGTAGGTCATTGCCAAAATCAATCTTATTTTGGCAATATCAGTCTTGTTTTGGCAAGCACTAGCCCCGCCCACTCGCCTTTTATTTTCTAAGAGGGCCAGTACCTGCTAAGAAAAAACTGTTTTTGGCCAATGAGGTCCCTCTAACAAAATAGAGGGTGGGTGGGCGGGTGTAGTATCTGCTAAAATAAGACCTATTTTGGCAAATGACATACGCTGGGGCTAGTACCTGCTAAGATAAGACTGATTTTAGCAAATGACGTATCCTCTAAGAAATATAATTAAATTATTACATATAAGAAAAGACACTAGAGGCTCCAAAGCACTTTCAAATTCTTTTCAAGCAGGATAATACCTAGACCTCAAGATTGTTTTTAATTTTCCACAAAAAGAAACGGAGTCTTAAAATTAACTCAAAAGCATATCATTAGAATTTTCAAAAAATAGAACACCAAAGTCCCCCAAAATTGTTTTAAATAATTTACAAAAAATTTCTCTATAATACACCATGGGTACCCAAGAGTCTCCCGAATTAAAAAAACAAAAACTGTGCGGCACTCAAGACTTAATTCATAAAAAATAAAACACTAATAAAAGCTTGAAAGATTTTTTCAAGTTCATTGAGCAACAAAACACCAGATTCCTTTAAATTTATCCGAAAATAAAACACCAGGGGACCTAAAATTAATTGCGAACATTTTAAACGTAGGGTTTTGAAAACTTTGACAATTTTTGATACGTCAAACATTTTTCGCTTTATATCAAGCAAACATTGTTGTCAAATGGAATTTTATCGAATTATAACAAAAATAACATATCAATATCTTTGTACATTCTAAATGAAATTGTAATTAAACGTGGTTATGGGCGAGAGAAATATTGACTAAAAGTTTTATTACTAGTTATTGTGATGATGAATGTGTTGTTTAGTTGTTAAACGTAGCAAAAAAACCAATTTTAAAATCATAAGACCACGAAAATGTGAGTGTGAGAATAATTTATGCTCAGTATATATATAGTCCTTGGCAACGTGTCGTAGAGTTAGTGCTCCATTTTTGAATCACCCTGTATATCACAAATGTAAAAATTTTATTTCATGTATAAATAAACCAGTTACAATACAGTCGTGTATGTTTAAACTTTCAGGTTTAAGAAACCTTTTTTTTGTCAATTCGCGGAGGTAGGTTTCTCTAGTTAATAATAGCTCTTAGACTATAAGTATTCACTATATGAATTTTTTCTTTTAAAATTAAAATATTTGGCATTATTTTACCATTCATATTTATGATTGACTGCACCAGATTTGTATATACTTAAAACTGTAGAATATTGTCGAAGTTTGTATAAATGAATAAAGACCAGCGAACAGTAAGATAAATGTATATTGCTAGTGACAAGTGTTATGATAAATAAGAATGATAAGAATAGAATATTATGTGACCGTGCGGTCGAGATAGTTGAATGTTAGTTACGAATTGAGAATTGTGAATTGAATGTGTATGAATGAGTTAAGAATTAAGAATTGAATGCTACCCTGTGGTCCAAGGTGGGGGTGGCTCTGGCTCCCACCCTTGCGGGTGGGTAGGGGTGAAACAGGTCCCCGCCAGAGGCTCTAACATAACCCCCCGCCTTGAAACAATTACATTGTTTTAAGACCAAAAATAAACTATATAGAACATTAGAATGAAAACATGATTTAGTAATGATAAATACAGATGAAATTACATGAATTAGGTGGACATTGTTACAGAAAGCAATGAACCTGAAGAAATGCATTAAACTTTAAAAAAAGATATCTAAAACAAATTATATGTGTACAATATCAGTGAATACACAATATTTACAATAGACCTAAAAGTAAATTTACAACAATTATAATGTACCAAATCAATGAATAATACGATGAGTGAATAATATGGCGAATGAATATAACAATGGTACAAATATGAATACATAGAACATAGTAAAATAAATCAACAATGAGATGTATATAACAAATTGACAAGATGTATGCAATATGGTTAAATAGAATGATAATGCATGCGATTGCGAAATTATCTTTTGCACTTCACCGACACTACACACACCACCACTTCCTTTCCAAAATGATGTTGGAGGGCCGCGTCCTAACCGCCACTGTAGACGCGGAAATTTCTCCTTTTTCACGAGGACCCATCTTGCCATTCCTGGAATGTTGGAAGATGGCCTTTGCCACCCTAACCTGCCT